AGTAGCTTTCTGTATTTTGTGGGCCCGTTGAACAATGACTGCCTCGTAGATTTGGAAGGAGTATTGACGAGAGAGAAACCTCCATATTAGCTACAGTATGTAAAGCAGACCTGAGAGGAAATAACACATTTGTGAATCAGAGGGCAACAAAGTAAAAACGAGAGGCTGTGTTTTTTACAAGGAGGAGAATTTTCTTTATTTATAACACATGATGCTGACAAGAAGTCTCCAGCTCAGCGTCTATATTACAAGATTGATCTGCAAGGTTGCGTATGTACTGTACGGTATTTGGAAACCAAGATTGCAGTGGCACTATAAACACACGCTTGAAACAACAGACTCTTTACCTTTTTTTTCTTTTTTTTTGGTTTTTCACTTTTTTTTTTTTTTTTTTTTTACAAAATGGTACAAACAACAATACAAAATATTTGTGCTGTTGACAATTTACAAAAGAAGTCTTTTGACTTGATATCTGTGCAATTATTTTTTCACCTTTTTTTTTTCCTTCATTGGAAACTATTTGAGTATGATACACCAGAATACCCTCTGGACTGCAGCCTCCATCATGCAGGCTGCACGCTTCCTGAACCGTTGTTAAGTTACTGTAGTAGACCTCATCCCTTCATTATAAAAAAAAGACATGCAAAAAAGCTCCAATTGTACAGTTACAGGTTGCCTAACTTGGTCTGTTTAGCTTCAAGCAAATATTACATTATGTACACTTGGACGTTAATAGAAGGAGAGCTTGTATGAAAGTCTGCTGCCTGTCTCAGTACTCAGTTTTTAGCTTCTTTTGGAATCTCCTGTCATGTGTGAAGCCATGGTTAGACAGTGTCCAGAATGAATAACTAAATATCCTTCAAGTTACACCAGAAAGACACAGAGGTCAGGGTTTTTCAACAGCAAAGCAAAGGTTCTTCCTATTTTCATTTGCTAATTCCCCCTCTCTTAAGAGAACATCGACATGACAAACACACTGCGTACGTCACAAAAAGCGACCAAACAACTTTAATTAACTCTGATTGCATCGAAGTGAGGGCCGGGTTTGATTAACTGTGTTATCGATTCATATGTGCAGCATTTTGTCTCTAAATGGCAACATATTAGGTATGACACAATTTATTCATGAGGGGGCCTCCAGCCATGTAAGGCCCTGAATCTCATCTGAATATTGGATTAGAAAACACAAGAACACCATGAAGAATGCCCTCATTCTGTGGACACTGAGTAACCATCAGCAAAGTTGCAGCTCGGAGGCTGTGTATAAATATATATATATATATATATATATATATATATATATATATATATATA